TTTTAGAATCCTAGATTATCAGGTCTGGTCAGAAATTTTACTGTTACAGTCCCAATTGGGAGATTGAGGAAAGTCATTTTTTAAAAAAAGAAGTTTTTCACCCTGTTAGGGTAGAAGACAAGATTTGCACAGGTACCCATAATCCCACCTGAGCTGCAGCAGCCATTACTTAATTAATCTTTCATCTCCTCCTGCAGACTTTATCTTGGATGACGGTTACACAGACTACACTTCATGAGCTTTGCATTTATTATTTTTGTCTTCTGGTTTTAACTTTCTCCTCCCACGAGTCCTCTTCTTCCTTTTATTCCACTTTTAGAAAATTTCCCTGGTATGCTTCTTCTGTATATGTTTCATGACATTTCTTCCATGTGGCTAATTCCCTTCTGTGGACGGCTGCTTGGAGGAGGTTTTTGTATTACTTTGGCTTGGACATCCTTTTTCTGATGCAGAATGACGGCAGAGGCTGCCTCCAAAATTCCCCACAGTGCTGATAAGAGGAGCTGGCAAAGGGCAAGACAGAAGCCCCAAGAAGAGGTGGAGCAGGCCAGGCTCAGGGGATTCCCCACTACCTACATGCCAGGATTCTGATATCTGCGAGGTGAGCTCAGGATTAATTCTCAGCATCCATTCATCATGAGGCAAGTACTTGACATTTGGGAAGTAGGGATGGCTTCCTTGCCTAACAATGGCATTGAGCTAAGAGGTAACACATGCAAATTTATTGTCTTGCTGTTTTCCCATTATCTGATAGGAGCCTGAACAGCAGTCCTTGTGATGTCTCAGTACCTGGCATAATAAGGTCAAAATATGCAAAGACTGTTTCCAAGTAGCCTGAACAGGAAGAACATCACTCATACTGGAGGCTTCTTTATTACCTGTGGGAACTTAGCTTAGAGGGAACATGACATCATTCTGACTATGTGCTGTCAACTCTGGACAGGTTTGCTTTTCTGGGGATCTGCTGCGTTGTGAGAGACAGCAATGCCTGGTGACAGAGAGGCCTGAATGGGGCTGATGAGGCTTCTTCCAATGATGAGATGGTGCCATCTCACTTTTTATCCATTGTTTCGGCCCCAAGCAAGTATTTTTTTTTTTTTATAAATGGAGATTTAGCAGATAGTATGCATTTAGAAAATGGGTTAAAGAGCCCCTGTCTTCTAAAACAAAGAAGCAGAAGGAGCAAAATATGGAGAAAATGGTCAGGAGTCTGWACAACTTGTAAGCTCTAGGTGTGTTGTAACAAAGACAATGCAGTCATCTGCTGGGTCAGGGGACAGAGAATGAAGGATTTTCCAAGCAGGGAAGAGGAAATGGAGTGTGCAACTGCTGCCACTGCTAAATGGGGTCTCTAATTCCTCTCCCTAGAATGGTAATGACACACATCTGTATGGTGCCTTTCATCAGCTCTGATCTCGGGGAGCACTCAGAGCTCTCTCTCTACTCAGCTCCTAAACATGCCCATCAAGAGGCTAAGGGATGACATGGATATTTGTGCCATATCTATTTTAGAGGAGAAGAGCTCACATGCAATAGGACCTTCAGATGCTGGGGAAATGAATTCAGAAGGGAGAAGAAAAAAGTGGCCACTGTTGATTTCCAATTGTGACCCTTAGCGGATCYACCACCTCTACTCAGATCGTCTCTGAAAAGCCCATCATGCCTCCAGTAGCCTTGGTCTCTTCTCTGCTTTCCTCTTTTCATACTGCTTCCCTCTTGGGAGCATATCACAAAAGAAGGTGAACGTGCTCCAGAAAGTTGTGACAAACTGACATTGGGGTCSAAGTTCTGCTAAAGACATTTTCCCTGATGCTTTGGGATGTCAGAAACAGAGGGGACATTTGGGGTATAGGAATGAAGAGGACAAGGCTTAGAAGGGAGAGGAATGGTGGGGAATCTGGTCTGTCCCAGTAAGATGGTCGACAAGATGAGCAGGGCCATCAGACATAAGTTATACAGACATGGAAGCAATCAACAATTGTGATTCATTAAGATGTTGCAGAAAAGTGAAGGATCTAACACAAAGATCAGCTCAAAGACCTGGTATAGATAACTCAGAGAACTAGATTTCAGCAGAGAGGTTGAGCTCAGTCTGGAGATGTTTCTAGGCTGGTATTTAGAAAGGGTTAGGACATAAGGATTCTTTCTTCCTTGGCTGAGGAATGAATAAAAGCATGCCTCGTGCCCTTACTTCCTCCATTTTGCAAGTATCCTATGATGTTGGTGCCAGCCCCTTTGGTTAAGGCACATTATCAGAAGATGAATGGGATTCTGCAGTGGTGATACAGAGGAGCACTAGGCTGGGTACCAGGACCTGTGTTGTAGACTTGTTCTTAACCAACTAGGTGACATATGGTTGAACTTCAAGGCACAGGGTAAAGCCCTGGACTTGCTTAGAATCAATACATACAGCTTTATGAACCTGGGAAGGCGACTTTATCTATTTGGACCTAAGTCTTGATATGCAACAATGTAATAAAAGTACAAGTAGAGCATCCATAATCTGAACATCTAGACTGTGAAATGCTCCAAAATCCAAAACTCTGAAGTGATTTTCCAAAATACATGAAAATTCCATACCACAAATAAACTTTGTGTTCTGTGCAAAATTATTATAAATACCATATGAAATTACCATTAGGCTATGTGTATAAAGGGATAGAAAACAGAAATGATTTTCATGTTTATATTTGAGCCTCACCCTCAGGATATCTCAATATTTACTGACTAACATCTCCAAAAAACAAAACAAAACAAAACAAAACCCCAAATAGAAAACACTTCTGGTCCTAAGCATTGTGGATATGGGACACTGAACCTGTATTTGTAAGGAGCATAGGAAAATTGTGAGGAAGATAAGTATGTGGAAAGGCTTCAAGGACTAAAATGCACTATACAGAGGTCTATTTGTATCCCTTGAGTTACATACACATGGGAAGAGAGTACCCTGAGGAAATGGAATACCATGCCTGAGGCCACACAGGGAGTTCATAATAGAACTGGGCTTACTATCCATTTTTTAGAATCCAGCTTTCTTTCATGACATTGTCTTGGTACCTATTTCTTTCCGTCTTATGGCTGGCCGAAGATCAAATGAGACAACAGGAGAGGAGGTAGGGAGAATTCTGAATAAGTCAGGAGCCAACACAAGGGAAGCAGTACAATTAGAGTGCGGGTTCCCTTGGAGATACTCTCAGTGATGTGATGAGATGAACCCCAGCTGGAGAACTTTTGAAGTCAACCAGCATCCAGCAAAATTGTCTGGTCATGGGAAAACTCTAGAAAGACTGCTGAGAAACTTAATGTGCAAAAACAGCTGGGTTTGTCCTCTGAGGTTTGCTTCGTGGGTCTATAAAATTGAAATTCTTGCCTGTAGATTCTTAGCAATGACCGATCACCATTATTTTCTAGCTAAATAATTCCCAGAATATACAAATATAAGAATATTCTCTGTCCCTGATTAGCTTACATCCTGTGAATCATCATACTGAAAGGGATCAACAGAATCTCTCATGTGCAARCTTAACCTAGTGGCCCCTGCTCAGGTGGGCTTAATCTGGGTTCTGCACAAAACCAAACCATTTCAGCAATGTCTGTGGATGAGAAATGGCAGAACCAGATCCACCTTTGGGCATGCACAAAGGGTGGGCCATTTATCACCTTCAGCCAATGCAGAAGGCATGACTGCTAATTGGTCTCTTCATTAACCAAGGAGAACATCTACCATCACAGCAACTCACAAGCTAGCAGCAATTTGGGGCAATATTTAAGTGGTTTCTAACTCATAATCATATTTCTTCCTGAAATCTGCTGGCCTAGAAAATATCTTTCATTCCTCATAAATAGACTGCTCTCACCTTCAGTAATTATGGACTCCCCAGGGAAGAGATAGAATGAGTGAGGGGTATACATCATACACAGAGGTGAGACACTATATCTAAACCTTAATCACGGATGATTAGTTCTTTAAAACCAGGCTTTAGCCAGATGGTTTTATACTATTTGGGGCAAAAGAAACATAAAATATTCTTTTAGCTTCTGCAACCCATAAGAAAGAAATTTCTACTGTATTCCTAGTAAATATCTCTCTGTTATTCTATAAGAGTCTTATCATGTATGTGATATATGGACAGGGATGCTGAAATACTTTTGCCAAAGTATGAAGCTCTCTGGCAGGGAAGGAACTGTGTCAGTGGAGAAGTTAGCAAAGAAACCCTGCCTGCAACTGACAAGAGTGGAATCTTTCTAGCAGAAATGAAACTCCAGTTTGAGGTCAATGAACGAAATCCCAATTCAGTGGTAAGGTTGTGTTGGGAGGTAGTCAAGGCAGAAAGCACCTTTCAGCCAGACCCCTTTCCCTTAGTGCAGGAAAATGGCAAGTGTCTGAATGTAGCCAAGCATCATTCTGGGGGTCTGCTGAGGGCAGTTTTGTGAATGCCCATGGATCAAGAAAGGACAATATGGCCTGAGGYTGAAACTCCCTGATAAGTTAGACTTCAGGCAACTTCCATTGACTTTTCAGGTAATGTCACACCTTGGATGTGTGACTTCTAGAGAYAGCATGCCACAAAACTAAGATGTTCATTCCCATCCAGCCTTGGTATTCTTCGGATCTTGTTGGTATATCTAATGAGTTTTGGAGGCTTTATATAATTAGCCTCCAAAACTAGCYATCAGATCAGGACCTAAGAAGCTAAAAACAGCACCTTTAATGAAAAGCATAAATGCAATAGGTATGCCTGTAGCTCAGGCAGCTAGTGAGGGTGGCCTCAGGGTCCACAGTTCCCCAGGCAATGGCTCCAGGACAGAGGAAAGACAGTGAAAACCAAGTAAACAGTGCTTGAAATGCACAAGCTCAACTTCCTGCGGACAGTCATTGTCATTTAGTTCCCACCTCTTTGCAAACTAGTGAACCCAACATGCCAAAGATGGTGTCCAAAGTCCCAAGCCCAGCAATTATCATCTAGGGAGTACCAGGGTGAAGAGAAATTTGGCCTTACCTGGAGACATGGAGGAGTCGTAGGAACTTCTCTCCTTGCGGTTCATCTTGAAGGCCTGGATGTCCTTTTCCCTGTACGTCCCAAAGCCTTCAAAGCTCCTCCTTTTACTCCCACTCATGTCACTGTCCCACTTGTCATTCGAAGGGGTCATGTCACTGAACACGTCCAGGCTCTCTGATCTTGTGCTGCTGCCATCCCCGCTGCTGCCAGAGTACCTTTTAGAGCACGAGTCCACAGACTCAATGCTCAAGTCGCTTTTGTCCTTGGCCTGCGTCCAATGCTGGGCATCAGAAAGTGACAGGTTAGACAGRGTGTCCACCTCAAAGCTGTTCTTGGAGGCTTTGTGGCCGGCTTCGCTGTGCTGATGCTTCTGTTTGTCCTTATGCTTGCTCTTCTCACTCACCAGCGGGAGCTCTTTGTCTGCGCTGCTCAGCCGCTCACTCAGGAGGTGGCTGGAGAAGCCTGTGGCTTTGCCTGTGAAGAGACCGCTCAGGTTGTCGTGGGTCCCCAGGAGCCGGTCTTCCTTGTGCTTATGCTTGTGTTTGTGTTTCCTCTTGTGGAGCCGACCGCTGGACAGAGTGGCGCCGCCCACCTTGGGAGGGTTCAGGGATGGCTGGATGTCACCGAGGCCCATRCCAACAGGTCCCTGCAGGTGTACTCCATGCTTTGCTTTATGCTTAGCTGCCCCAGACATCTTTACGTGGGAGCTTGTGTGGAACTGAGGTGGTGGCACTGTTGGCCTTATGAACGGGGAGGCTGCTCCCAGCGTGTGCGATAGGTACAGCGGAGCTGGGTACTGACCGTAGTAACCAAGGTTCATCATAGGCATTGATGTGTAAGGCAATCCATAGGGTGCATAGTAACTTCCACTGGGAATAGGGTAGCTGAACCCTTGTAAAAAAGGCACCTTTGTCATGGTGTCATTGGTTTTTGCAGGCCTACCACGCTTCTTCTTTGACTTCAAGTCTGAAGTCCTACGAAGATAGAGCAACGGGTCATATTGGATATATGGCACCGGGTAATAGTGATCAAAATTAATCCGAAAAATGCTGGGGTATGGATTCTCGTGGTAAAAGGTGTAACTCCGGTGGGAGATCCTGAACACTTGGAATTTGGTGATGAGCTCTTCCAGCTCTGCCAGAAACTGGAGATCGTCACGGTTTTGCAGGCTTTTCCGTTTCCTCTTGTGCTTTGGCTTCTTGAGGCTCTCGTGGGCCAGGAAGGTGTCCACGATGAGATGCTTCTGCCGGTGGCCATGCCGGTTCTTTGTGCTGGTGTCGGACGGGATGGCCTCCGGGTTATCCAGGGAGCAGAAATCAAAAGAGTACCTCCGTCGGGATTCTGAACTCTTCTCGGCTTGGTCAGACGTGCTGTTGTTGTCTGTCCCGATGCCGCTGTCACTTGGGATCGTCTCCTCGCTGTGGGACTCGCTCACGGGRGACAGCGTTATCTCCTTCAGTGAGCCAATCTCACAGAGGTGCGAAGGGGAGTTGGCCATCAGCCTGGGTGGGGACAGCTTCCAGGTTCCACTGTGGATTCCCTTTGGGGTTTTGGTTGGAAGAGCACTGATGGGTTGGAGATTTGGCATAGTTTTCAACTCTGAAAAACTGGTTTCAGTGCTGGCGGGGCTCAGGTTGCCATTGGACCCACCTAACTGGGTTGAAAGTGGGTGCATAGCTGCTGGTGAAGATGCCACGAGGGACTGAAAGTTGGAAGGCACGGCTGGAACGTCCGGCTGGCTAGAAACAGGCCTGGGGTGTTTGATGGCTGTTTTGGGTTCATCAGAGGGGGGCGGCAGCTCCGTCCTCGGCTTTCTGCCCCTCTTCTTGCCGATGTAGATGGTTCCCCTTTTGCTGACATTAATCTGCTTGCCCAGTTTGCTTTCGATCGCTGCTGCCCCAGGGCTGGTCTCCGGGGGAGCTTTGGCCTTCAGAGCCATGCTGCTGGAACAGGACAAGATCTGGTTCAAGATGTTCTTCCTCTTGAGCGTCTTCATCTTGTTGATAGTCTTGATGGTCTTCTTATCCAACACACCKAGCTTTCCAACCTTTTTGTGAAACTTCATCTCACTCATGGGTTTGTCCTCTCCCGGGACGAGCTGGGCCAACTTAGCTAAGTTGCGTCGTCTCTTTCTTTTCTTGGTGCCAGGAAACTCTCTGCTGATGGGACTGACGGGGCTGGTGGAAGTGCCCTCGTGAATCGTCTCCACTGTGAGCAAAGGCTGCTTCTTTGGTCGACCCCGCTTCTTTTTGACCGGAGTGATCACAGTCAGACTGTCCGTGTTGGTGTACAGAGGGCTGGACGGGGTGATGGGATAAGCAGAGGGGGGTTCTACCATCAGTTTATCAGAGGTGGCCATGACTGCCTCTCGCAGCATGCTGGTGGGTTTTGGCTTGCTGCAGGTCCACCTCCGTTTTGCAGCAAATTTTGGATGCTGGATATCTGGCAACTTTCTTGATGGAGAGTGATCGGTGCACATTGGGGGCGCCATGATCATGGGTGGTTTCCGCTGCTTAGACATACCTCCTGGGACAATTTTCTCAGTATTTCCACCAGTTTCGAGGCCAACTGAGGGGGACTCATTCTCTATCAGTTTGCTCAACTTTGGGACACGGGAGTCTTTCTTATTTCCCTCTGAGTTGGAAAGTATCCTGTTAACCACTTCACTACTCATAGCAATTCCAGAAGCCAGTGTTTTCTCGGGGATGATCTTTTCTACCACTGCTTTAATGGACTGTCTCTTTTTCCTCTTATGGCTCGTTGGATCTAGAGAGGGTGCCTTGATGGGGATAGTAATCCGGACATGACTGGAGTCATTTTCAGGATTACTGATGGAGCCCACGTTCTGCCTGGCTGGTGATGCCTCTTGGCCATTCTCTGCAGAGTAGCCCTCCCTTTTCCCTTCTGTGTTCTCAAATACTTTCTGGGCACTCTTGACCCAATCCAGGTCTGGGTTTGGTATGGTTTGACTTATCACATCTTTTTTACTGGACTTTTTCTTGCTGCCTATTGTAGGTGGTTCTGGGGGCTCCTTTGTACCTCCTCCATCTTGATCCCCCAAGGACTGGAGCCCAGTGCACTCGGCAGAGCTGCTAGGAGGAGTGGGCGAGCTGTGGCTGCTTGGAGATGGAACCACACCTCCCAAGAGCAGATCTTTGCTGTTGTTGGACAACTGACTCCACGTGCTCCCGGCGCTGCCTTTCTTACCCTGGGCCTTTGCAAAGGTAGCCACGGGTTCAAGAGCTGAGATCTTGCTGGTGCTTGCAGTTTCTCTGCCAGAGTCTGGACTGATGAAGCAATTCTGAGTGGCGGGTCCGCTGTCAGAGTTGGTGGACCAGTCCATGTGGTTCTGGCTGCTGCTTTTTTGCTGGTGCTTTGGTTTTAAGGTGTCACCGGTGAAGTCCTGCGGGAGGCCTGGGTCATAATGGAGACTTGAGTGCTTCTGGGGCCTCTCGTAAGCCTGAGGGTGGGAAAATTGGAGAGACAAAAAGAGAGAGAAACAAAGATGAGCATGTTAGGACTACTTAAAAGTTAATATCAGGCCAGGGGTGGCAGCGCATGCCTATAATCCCATGACGTGGTAGGCTGAGGCAGAAAAATTGCAAGTTCAAGGTCAGCCTCAGAAACTTATCAAGGCCCTAAGCAATTAGAGAGACCCTGTTTCAAAATATAAATAGGGGTGGACATGTGGCTTAGTGGCCAAGCACTCATGGATTCAACTCCTGGTACCCCCCCAAAATAATAATAATGTCAAAAGGCTTAATTATTTGAAAGTTGGAAACAAATGACTACATTAGCAGCCACCTTTAATTCCAGAATGTTTTATAGAGGTTTTCTCAACTGTGGTGGTAAAGATATATTGCACTATTTTCGAATATTAATAAGAATACTTTGTTGGCTACCTTTTCCCTCTAAATAAAAGGGGAAATGCAATCTGAGAATAAAAACAAGTTAGAGAGAGGAGGGAGGGAACTGTAGTCTCTGCTCTGGTCACAGTACTTTACAATGAAGAAGCTGAATCTTGAAGAACTGAGAGTCCTTCCCACAGTGGCAGAGCCAGGGCAAGAGTCTGAACTTTCCTCTCTTCCCAGGTTCTTTTGACAAACAACACCGGCTGCCTCTTAGTCCCAGCTCCTGCTTCCCCTCTCATGCATGGCTTTCCTAGCTTCCCTCTCTCTGGTTCATTTCTGGTACTTTACCTTAGAGTTCAACCTCTCTGTACTCAACCAAATAAGAAGGAGCTCATAAGATACCACTCCAAGAAGTAAAAACAGCACAAGGAACTAAGTAAGGGTCAAGGTTTGGAGAATAAATGGAAGAAGAAAAGAAATATGAAAGAACTGTCCTGAGCCTTCAAATCTTCCTGGACTCTACACTTGTTGCTGCCATTGGGAGTTTACGTGCTGAGGGATCCACAGGCAGCCATTAGGCATTTGTTGCTCTTTGCAGAAACTCTTGGAAAGTCTCATAAGTTACCTTGAGTTTCCTGGACAGATGTACCAGGAAAATAATCATTGTCACTCCAGATCACTCCTTTGAATGTTGGCAGCTGTGTTTTCCCTACACCAAAGCTGACTGAATGTCTCCAGCATTCCCCCTGGGACTGACTCCTCAGATCGGAATGGCAGGCCTTGAGACTCCAGGCACAGAATGATCAGGATGTATAAAATCACAAAGGGAATGGAAAGTGAACGCAGCGTTTCGAGATTTTAAAGCTACTTTTAGTATAGACAGGCTCTTAGTTTCCCAGGCATGCTACTGCTACAAAGAAGTGTTCTTTAGGTTATCTGAGCCTGATATGTCCATGGAGTAGTAAGCTTACTGGATGTATTAGACTAAGACTTGTTACAGAATAGAAAATATAAGTAAATTGAAGAAAAGTTTGGATAGTATGTCCACTGAGAAATGTATGATGATTGGTGTTTATATTTAGAAAATTTAAACCTATAATATCTATCAGGGTGTCTGTTTATTTAGGTATCTGCCTGCTTATCTAGCTATCAATCATTCTATCTGTATGTGCCAATGATGTTACAGAACTTAGGATTTGTTAGAGAACACGTCTCCTAGTTTCAATTAAGGACCAAAACACAGAAGAAAGAAGTAAGGGTAAAATTCAATGTCCTAAAGCAACTAGAATTTCCTTCATACTATCTCTTAGGTTCCCAAAGGTCTTTTTTTGTACCCTAATTTTGTGATGCCCTGTTTATATTTATGTCACTGCACTATATTTTGAAAGTATGAGATAGTCTCCCCAAGTTAAGTCTATAAATGCCCAGAAGAGAATTAAGAAAGAGAATTTTGTTTATTTCTTCCTTCACCTTGCAATTTACAGTTGAAACACCACCATCATTAAAATATAGAGGATTAATCCTGCCACTTGAGAGTTTTTACTAGGTATCACTGCTGTGAGCCTAGGCTGCTATTCCAATTTCTGGAAAAAATATAGAGACCCTATTTACGGCATAAAATATCAAATGCTACTTACTTATTTTTTATGAATCAGGCTTTGCTAATTTACCCTTCGTGCAATGGGCTTTAGCTGGCACTGTGTGCTCACTCACAGCCCCACAGCCCTGGAGGAGGGCTTCCAGATGGCATTTCCTGCTCCTTAGGATGATGAGGTAGGTATCCCTCATACTGAGGCATTTCTGAGGGTTGGAATGGGGAGGATTAAAAATTACAGTGAAACAAAAGCAGTGTAATGTTTTGCAACGGGGCAAAACAGCACTTGTGGTACGTCCTTTCCCCCAGCTCTGGCCCCTCCACTTCTCTAGCTCTAGATGCTGAGGACCACAGACGGGCTTCATGATGAAGTGAGGAATGGAATCTCGGTCCCTGACCCCCACTGCTTTTTTCCTGTTGGTCCATCTCCTGGTTGATGGCACCTCACGGAGTTCCTGTTTCATATTCTCTTCACGCTCTGGTCTCAGCTCAATCCCAGGGAAGCCCTTTTTCTTACAGAAATTCCTTGTTAAAGTTTTCCTGAAGCCAAGTATTTTGTCTTTGTTGTGCTCATTATATTGTTAATTTTATGTATCATTGTGTGCCAACTGAATTAAATCCCTGCCTCCTTTTCCAGCTTGTAACACTGTCACCGAGGCACCAAACACATTGTTGGTACATTGTCCCCGAGGTCTTGGGACATTCCAGGGATGCAAGGTTGGTTCAACATATGAAAATCAAGAAATATAATTCATCCCATCAATAGACTTAAAGATAAGAATAATATATCAAGTGATTCAGAGAAAGATTTGACAAAATACAGCACCCTTTCATGGTCAAAACTCTAAGAAAACTAGGGATAGTAGGAACTTCAACATTGTAAATGCTATCTATGCTAACCTAAGGCCAACATCATTCTAAATGACAAAAAATTGGAAGCATTCCCTCTAAAAACTAGAACAAGTCAAGGATGCCCTCTTTCACCACTTCTATTCAACACAATCCTTGAAACTCTAGCCAGAGTAATTAGACAGATGAAAGAAATTAAAGGGATATGGATAGGAAAAGAAGAACTCAAACTATCATTGTTTGCTGATGACATGATGCTATACTCAGAGGATCCAAAAAACTCCACCAGAAAACTTCTAGAATTAATAAATGAATTCAGCAAAGTATCAGGATATAAAATCAATACCCATATATCAAATGCATTTTTACACATCAGTGATGAATCCTCTGAAAGAGAAATTAGAAAAACTACTCCGTTCACTATAGCCTCAAAAAAAAAAATACTTGGGAATCAATTTCACAAAATAGGTGAAAGATCTCTGCAATGAAAACTACAAAACACTATAAAAAGAAATTGAAGAAGACCTCAGAAGATGGAAAGATCTCCCATGCTCTTGGATAGGCAAACTTAATATTGTCAAAATGATTATACTACCCAAAGCACTATACACATTTAATGCAATTCCAATTAAAATCCCAATGTCATTCCTTATAGAAATAGAAAAATCAATCATGAAATTTGTTTGGAAAAATAAGAGACCCAGAATAATCCAAAGCAATCCTTAGCAAGAAGAGTGAAGCAGGAGGCATAACAATACCAGACCTTAATCTATTCTACAAAGCTATAGTAACAAAACCAGCATGGTATTGGCACCAAAATATACATATAGACAGTGGTATAGAATAGAAGACACAGAGACAAACCCATATAAGTACAGTTATCTCATATTAGACAAAGGATCCTAAAACATACAATGAAGAAAAGGTAGCCTCTTCAACAAATGGTGCTGGGAGAACTAGAAATCCATACGCAGCAAAATGAAACTAAACCCCTATCTCTCACTGCACAAAACTCAACTCAAAGTGGATCAAGGACCTAAGAATTAGACCAGAGACCATGTGCCTAATAGAGGAAAAAGTAGACCCAAATCTTCATCACGGCAGATTAGGCCCTGACTTCCTTAACAAGACCCCTAAAGAACAAGAAATAAAATCAAGAATTAATAAATGGGATKCATTCAAACTAAAAAGCTTCTTTTCAGCAAGAGAAACAATAAACAAGGTGAAGAGAGAGCCTACATTTTGGGAGCAAATTTTGACCTCATGCACATCAAATAGAGAACTAATCTCCAAGTTATATAAAGAACTCAAAAAGCTGAACACCAAAAAAAATAATAATAATAATAAATGGGCTAAGGAGCTGAACAGACACTTCTCAGAAGAAGATATACAATGGATCAACAAATATATGGGAAAAATGTTCAACATCTCTAGTAATTAGAGAAATGCAAATCAAAACTACTCTAAGATTTCATCTCATGCTAGTCAGAATAGCAGCTATCAAGAGTACAAACAAATAAGTGTTGGCGAGGATGTGGGGGAAAAGACACACTCATACATTGCTGGTAGGACTGCAAATTGCTGCAACCACTCTGGAAAGCAACGTGGAGATTTCTTAGAAAACTTGACCCAGCTATCCTATTCCTCGGTCTATAACCAAAGAACTTAAATTCAACATACTATAGTAACATAGCCACAACAATGTTCAATTATGTTATGTTACAATGTTCAACAATGCTCAATTCACAATAGCTAAACTGAAAGATGCACTTCAATAGATGAATGGATAAAAAAAAGAACTTTGGTATGTATTCACAATGGAATATTACTCAGCATTAAAAGAGAATAAAATTATGGCATTTGTAGGTAAATGGATGGAGCTGGAATGAAGTAAGCCAATCCCAAAAAAACAAAGTCTGAATGTTCTCTCAAATAAGTGGCTGCTAATCCATAATGAGAGGGGCATGGAAAAATAGAGAAACTTTGATTGGTAAGGGTGAGGGGGAAGGGGAAGAGAGATGGGGGCACGAAAGATGGTAGAATGTGATGGACATTATTATCCTAGGTACATGTATGACTGCACATATGGTGTGATGCTACATCGTGCACATCCAGAGAAATGAAAAGCTATGCTGAAATTGTGTAGAATAAAAATGCAATCTGCTG